ATAGAAGATCTTGGCTTTAAAATTAGAAAAAGTAATTCATTCTTCGTTTGTCTTGATTTTTCTTTTAAATCCATCCTCGTATTTCAGTATTTTTCGTATTACATGAATAGATGGAAAATCTTGGGTTTAAGATCCAGAAATGGCGAACATTCCCTATCGACACGAGCCACGAAACTTATGTCCATTGCTCTACCTACACGGCTTTTCAATTAGTCATTAATCCTCGCCGGTCTGAATGCAAACGGAACCGTTAGACTGTCGTCCCGAATGCAGACCAAGTCACCATTTGTAAAACAGATAAATGGTACCCGAGCGATGATAAATTGGAAAAAGTGTATCGACGACTCGTTGCCATTCCGATTGTCACATTCGTGAAAAATCGGTAGAAATAAGTAACTAGAATCCATCCTTTTTGTATATACGATAAATAGTTATTGATAATGTTTATGAAAATGCAAAGATAGCGTCCAGCTCGGGACGTGCCAGTTTTTCTTATCGATTTTCGTGAAAAGGCAGATTGGCCGTCGGCCAACGCAGCGGTAACTCGGCGGTCGCCGCTTACATTTCAATTAGCAGACAGATTATAAGCGCCGCTGGCGTGAAAGATGAACAGAACCACCGTATTACGCGTGCTCGCATGTGTATCACGTACAAAACGCGCATTAAATCGCACTTACGGTGTATCAAAAGCCCATATGAAAATCATTATTAATTAGTCTCTATAAAAAATCGTTTCATTTGTTGCCCGAGTGAGAACAGACTGCACGGAAATCTCCGCTACGGTTACAATCTGTGATTGTTTCATTTACTACCCGAGAAATGAGAACGTTTTCATTTACTGCTTCAAGCCTCAGATTCGAAAACAATGAAAATCTCCATCAATTTCGTTTACTGCTTCACAGTTTAAGTGAAAAGAATTGAAAAATGGAAACGTTTAATTTTACTACGCGTGTGTCTAACGTTATTGAAAATAATTGGTAATAAATTGAAAACGATTTGAACTCTCAATGTCACATTCGGGGAGTTCTAAAAAGTCCCTCTAACACAAACTCGTAGGATCGTAATTTTTTGTTGTCGAGAACCGCGAATCGATCGATCTTTTACGGGAGCGTTTTAGCTCGGACAACCTACTTCGTGAGATGATAATTTCGCCTGTTCCTAATTACGGAAGGAGTTTCGCGCGATCGTAATCCCGTCCCATTATCATCCGGTCTCGTGCGCGCGCGCGCGTTCGTCGATGGAGCGAACGAACTGGTTTCGCTGACTCTCCTGGATAACTTTAGACAACAACGTCATTAATGTTAGAGTGGAAAGCACTTTCCGTGACGTGCAAGTAGTGCAAAACGAATAAGAGGCTTGCTCGGTACCTCGCGATGCGGGCAAACGTCCTTGCCATGAAAGTCCACTCGATGAAATGGGCAAATCATGGGCAGAAACGCGGTCCCGCGTACGCGTCGGTCATCAGTACAAATAACTCGTTTAAGTGTGACAGAACATAAAACAAATAGTTCGATTGTCGTACATGTCGTTGCTGAGACGTTTCAGCCACTCTCTATTGGAAACTTTTCATTTTCCATCATTTAAGACAGTACTATTTACAATAGAATTTTAATAAGAAAAAAATGTGTTATACATCTAGATAAGAGTTTGAAAAAGTTACATTTTTAGTGACTGAGGATAGCTAAAAAGAAGTTATTAAACCTACTATGCATCGGTCAAATAATCGTTTTTAAATTCTACAGGAAATAACAAGAAAACGAAATTTAATTTGTTGTAATTATTATTTAAGCTAGGAATATTAAATGTAAATAAAATAAATATATTGTATTAGTGTACAAGAACTGTCAATTGAAAATCAATTGAAAATGTTATTTTTAGATACTTTAGATTGCTGCTCATAAGAAAGAGAACTTTGCTGTAGTTCACGTAATTCGTTTTAAGGATGTATTGGCCATACAGTCAATCCCAAAAGTTTATGCACTTTAGAAACAATAATGCTAATAA